TCTGGCACCCGTCTTGTTGCTCATGTTATTACAAACCCGGTAAAAAGTCTAATTCGGTAGGTCATATTCGTGAAAAGAGAGCAGCAACCCTCTATCAACGAAATCATGATAGGAAATACAAGCCTGGGAATATTGTATCAATTGAAAGATATATACTCCGTATGAAGGCGCTGCTGGAATGTTGCTACATAGAAATGGAAAGTTCACAATTGGGAAGCTGAAATCATCTCTTTTGCTGTAAAGTTTTGTTTTCAACCGACCTTCATTGTCAATTTCTAGATGTTAGTCAAGATATAAGGCAGATTTAGCTGTATCTGTTGTATTCTTTATATCTAGTTCGTTGAGATAGATGCGTTCAACAAAGTCACCAAATTTTAAATTATTTAGTGAGAGAAAATCATCTTTATAGCGACAATAAAGTTAAAGGATATTGCTAACTTCTTATCTTTCTACCTAAGAAGTTCCTGTATGAAGTCAGCCTCATAATAATAAAGGAACAAGTCTGCTAAAGTGGGGTACAATTGGTTCCAAATGGATTGCCAACATATAATTACAGAAATATTCTCTTAGTCTTGTTTCTATTATATCTAAATACCAAAATATCATTACTCCTGAAACTTTATACTAGACACCTTATTTTATGTATATTTCACATTACTAATTATCCTCCGCACCTTTCAACACTCAGTGATTTAGTTAAATGAATTTTTGCTGTCATCAAATTTATATCTATATTGTTGTTGATTCTAGTTTTTCGAAGATAAGTATTTGCGAACTTTAATTTCACTTGAAAAACAGATTTGATCCATTTTGTTTTCTGTTATATAATTATACGCTTATGCCACAACTATCTACAAGAGACCAAATGTCACAGAAACTAACAATAATAGGTCACGGCCTTCAACAATTAGCAAAGTCAATACCGCATAGACAGATATAAACGACCCTGAACGACAAATGAATAATAATTTAAACGAGAAAACTAACAGCCTGATTTATGAACAAAATAATAAACGAATAATCAAATAAGTTACAGAGCAACACATGATAACGACTGCATTACTGACAATGAATAAGCATCTACATAACGTGGTAGGGTTAAACTCGTTTGAAGTCGCCAGCCCTCACCCTAATAGATGGGGGATACTTATTCATCCCCAAATCAAAAAGACACTTACGATGCTGAGTGTACTCGTAGTTACTGATTGCTAGTTAAAGGCCAATAATAACAAATGAAAAAATCATGTATCTAAGACTATGCATTTTATTGTTGTTTTTTTTCCCCGACCATTGCAAGAAATTGGGTCTACAGTTACTGCCAAAAAACCTTTTCGAAGTATTGTCACCGATATAATGTATTTGACGTGATAGTTTCATATCTTGTTTGTTATATGAATTGAGATTATATATTACAATGGTATAAGATCTAGTTTTACTTTTTCGTTGTTTTCTTTTCAGTTTATCGTAATTTAAAAAGTTTTGCTATATCGTAATGTAAAAGATATACACTGTTCATGTACAAATGTTCTATCATGCAACATCGCATGTTTGGAATTAAACTAAATAAGTTTAACCACTATATACAAGTTTGTGCCTATGTCAAGTCGAATAAGGACCTCCACTGGTGGTTTTCTTTTATATATATATATATATATATTATGATTGTAAAGATAATTGCTACTGTTTAAACTCTCCTATATCATGTATATTTATTGTGTATTCAAACGAATGACGAATTTCAGAAAGTATATTTTAAATATGACATGTCTACTTTTATCTTATATTTTTTGGTTAAATACCTGTAGGGAAAGTCCATTTTAAAAATATATATAGATATGTGTTATAATGTTGTGTGTTTCTTAATTAAGAATACAATATATTTGCTTTCGTACAGCGAGTTGCGAAGATATCCTTTACAAGTTTCATTTTGAGAAATTCACCCACAATTGTAAGTAGTTTGTTTCAATTTCACTGATACCTTTCTTTAAGATAACCATAGTAAATTCAAATACGTAAAGAAACTTTAAAATGACTGCATCAAAATCCGTTGAGTCGATTTTTCAAATTTCTATGTTATTGAAATTTACATCAGCGTGCTAAGAATAATTAGTTTAAGTCAGATGTATGTAGTGTTTATTCATGTGTTTATTGTAAGAAAATTATTGGAATTAGAATGATCATGTGTCTAATGCTTTTATCGTTTTGAACAGTAAACACGAATACGGGATTTGTTTTACTTCGATGCTCCTAGTTATTTTATCATACGAGTTGGGTCCAATGGACAATTTATGGGAATATGAATGGAGATATTTATTTTGAACGCCCAGCGGCAAAAATAAAATGCATATCAGAACGATTTAATGGAACACTTCTCCTTACTTAACGCTAAGATGGTTTATTCACTTGATTGTTCACTTGAATATTAATAAGGTAATACACTACGAGAAGAAAGTCAACCTGAGAGATCAACATATTAACTAAAACAGACAAGACAAAATAATAACGACCAGCATATACTTTTACCCCTAAATGCCACTGATTTGAACGAGAAACAGAATACATAAATGGTAAAGTCGTTGATTAAACACAAATAGATTAATCAAACCTACGACCGGCTCAGCTCGTGCAAGCACCGAGTACTTGTACAGAATATGAGCATTTTTTTATGTGTGAAATAGATTATCTGAAACACACTTGTGTGATTTTCGTAACGTGTAAACAAAAGAAAGTATATTGATTTTAATTTGCCTAGCAACTCTGGTATTATCTTTTATTTCCTGAAGAACCTATTTTAAACATTTTTTTCGTGCATAGGACATACCCATTGGTTAATGTTACAGAGAATTCCTGTCTAATTGACATTTTTTGAAAAGTACTTTAATGGTCTTTTTTGACACTACTTTATTAATAGATTCGACATACGTTTTTCCTAACAAGGTTAAGCGGTGTTGTATAAAATTAATAGGAACAAAGCATTTTTGATTATATCTAAACTAAATGTTTAAAAGTTCAGGTAAAGTCATGTGTTTAACTGTAAATGTATTGTGATAAACAACTATTCATTATTGTTGAAAATATTATTTATTAATAGAAGATGTAATATTCATAAAATATGAAAATCAGGAGCCTGTTATGCATTCGTTGTCATGTGTTGTCATGTGTTGTCATGTGTTGCTGTATATCACAGTTTTCATGTTTGAACAATTAATATCACCAGCCCAGTAGTCACATCGGTGTTGACATGAATATCAATTATACGGTCATTTACTGTTTGCAAAAGTATGAAATATTCGAAATACTAAGGATGTTATTATCCCATGCATAGATAACCTTAGCCGTATTTGGCACAACTTTTTGGAATTTTTGGTCATCAATGCTCTTCATATTTGTACTTGTTTGGTTTTCTAACTTCTTTGATCTGCGCGTCACTGATTGAGTCTTATGAAGACGAAGCGCGCGTCTGACGTATTAAATTATAAGCCTGGTACCTTTGATAACTAATTATAATTTTTCTTTTATGTCTTTTAAACTTTAATATGCAGTTTTGGTTTTACTTATCACTAAATCCGTACGGTGATCTGAAGTTGTTTAATCTCTGCATCATTTGCTCTCTGGCAGAGAATTGTTTCATTGGCAATCATACCACATCTTTTTTTTCATTTTTAAACACAAGTGGATAACAGGAATTGACAAAATTATCACACAATACAATAGACCACACCAATAACTAACACACGACTCCTCGGATAGTTTTATATTTATTGTGCATTTACGAATTTGTTTGAACTTGAATTTATACATTTTAAAAAATAGGAAATGTGATGTCTATGCGGAGTTTACTACTTACTTTTAAACACTTGTACAACATTGTATAATAACGTAACTTAAAACATTCAAAATAACAACCAACCAAGAAGATCCTTTATTGTTGATTTTAAAGAAAATGAAATCAAAACTTTTTTTAATTTCTAATCAATATTTTGAAGATGAAATGAACAACTTTCACCCTTTTATAAACATAAAAACATATTCGTGTATAAATAATCAACCACGTGCAGTCATAATTTCGTAAATGAAAAAAAAAAAACTTGAGTAAACGGAACAAATAGATACAGACTTTGGTAAATTAAGGAAATAGCAGTATACCGCTGGTCCATAGTCATAATTCGATTTAACTGAAACTAATCCGGGTTACAAACCAATGCAAAACTGAGAGAAACACATCAACTATAAGAGGAAACAAAACTGGAAAACAGAAACACTGAATCGCTACAAAATCAAATGCCAACATACATAGAAACGGACTTTGCGATAACAACTGCCATATTCCTGACTTGGTACATGACTTTTTAAGAAAAAACAGTGAATTGAACCTTGTTTTATAGCTAGCCAAAACACTCGCTTATATGGCAATCTTAAACATACCACTAAAATGACAACATTACGTGACAGGAATACAGTACAAATAAATTCAAGAACACTCAGGACAGAGGAATAGATAAATAAATAATAGGATAGTACATTTCAACATGTGAACCTAAGAATAACAACGAACACCTAAAATTAGTTTACAAGAGATCACAAATACAGCACTATGGAATTATGAACTGTTCGTTACACGAATGTATCAACGCCAAAAAAAGTGACATCACAGATTATATTCTAAACATAGAATATAATAGAGTGTTTTTACTTTATCGTGTTAATTACTTTTAAAGTTCAGAGTGTTAATATTGCTTACTGACTTAAGACTTTGTATCCAATTTATTTTCTACATTTGTTTTTAATTTAGGTGAATTGTATGAGAAGTTTCAATACTAGTTTAGTATGGCGTTCATTATCACTGAACTAGTATATATATTTGTTTAGGGGCCAGCTGAAGGACGCCTCCGGGTGCGGAAATTTCTCGCTGCATTGAAGACCTGTTGGTGACCTTCTGCTGTTGTCTGTTCTATGGTCGGGTTGTTGTCTCTTTGACACATTCCCCATTTCCATTCTCAATTTTATAGTATATAAAACAAAGAGATGAAGAAAATTATAATAATGAAGGTGGCATTCTTTTTCATCTTTAATATACATGTAAGTACATAAAGTATATTAAAAGACGAAATAAGCAACAAATTATAGATTCTTAATACACTCCTGTGTCAAAACTGTCCATAGTCAGTGACCGAATTAGAGGTTGTCACTGTTTTACTTGTCAACAATATTTCATTTTTTTTTAATTTGAATACAATTTCAACAAATGCACCGAAGTGTTAAATATCAACATACCTTTTTTGTATCTCATTTTAGATATTTGCTACAGTAATTTCTCTCCCAAATACAGTTAAAAAGAAGGGAGAATGGTTAGCTCGTGACATCTGATATGAGAATCCTTTACGATGTTGTCTTGCTTTTATCCATTTCTATTTTTACTTGATTTTATGTTTGATCAGCAGTCTGCTCATTGTACACGGAAAACGTTCGTCGATCTTTTCCTTACATCTATTGAAGCGAATAATTTTATTTTTGGATTGAGGATTGCGCATTTTGAGTTGTTGTGTGCTAGCATCTTTATAGATCTGCCGTGTAGCAACTTCCTGTTTGCCGAATGTTTGAAATTTTATTCCACTCGTTATACAAGGATAACTTAATCATCCCCAGTTTTTGGTGGGGTTTGTGTTGCTTAGTCTTTAGTTTTCTATGTTGTGTCATCTGTACTATTATTTGTCTGTTTGTCTTTTTATTTTTGGCCGTGGCGTTGTCAGTTTGTTTTCGATCGGTGAGTTTGACTGTCCCTCTGGTATCTTTCGTCCCTCTTTTAGATGTGTTAATACCTGAAAATACAATCACAAAAAATGCTCTATACTTTTTTTTTAATTTAGGATTTTTTTTGCCTGCCATAGTAACAACTACAATACACAATGTACTCAACCTTTACTAATAACAACTACAATTAAGCATACGGTCTTCAATAATAAGCAAATTTAATACAGCATAGTGCTATTAAAGGCACAGAATACAAAATAGAGAGATAACATAAGAGCAAACTATAAAAAATACTGTTGGAAATGGCATTATATACAATATCGACAAACACATATAAAGATGAGAAAACGAAAACGACACAACTTACCCATAAAATAGCTGCAAATACATCTATCAAATGTCCATTCTAAACGATGTGTGGACGGATTTTTTCATGCACTCCTGACAAGGGTGGGTGTTTTTTTAGCCTCATTTTTGATTTTTATCCATCTTTTTATTATAAAAATTTAATCTACTGACAATAATGTATTCGGGTATATTTTTTTCAAAATCCTAACAAATTAGGGATCTGTCCATTCATCTTTTGGCTTTAAGTTCTAATTGACAATGAAACGAGTATGCTGTTGTTGTTCATACGCCTTTATTTGGATAACAATTGTTGGTGTACTAATAATTTCAAACAAGAACAAATAGTTTCTTTCATTTTTCTGCAGTGTCATCGTTATTTTAGGAAACAAAAAAAGTAACCCCTTTTGTAATGGTTTTGCTTTTACGTGTTCTGCTATGAAGTATATCAGTATTACTGATGCAGAGATGAGATAAGGTTTCTTCCTGGAATCATTTTATTGCACTTTCCTTTATGTGCCGTTCGGTATTACACTAATCCAGATTGAAATTGGGAGGTTTAACATCTTCAAACCAATTTTAACCTGCCATTTATTCATGAAATTAAAACATATGATAGGCAACTTTATCAGTGGCTGTTTTATTTTACATTGCATTTGATTGTTCTTCCTGACATGGTAAATAATTGGTTGTTAAAATTATATCGACTCTGCTATATGTGTGCATGCACGATGTGTTTATACGGAGGGCGATTTAAAGCACAACATGGCTTTTGTTTTATTGTGTCATTTGGTTTTGGTTTCCTTTACTGTTACCCTCTTATTTCATTAATACTAATAAATAAATGTGAAAACAAAATAACTATCAGGTTCGTTTATTAGCTGTTTGTTTACGTAGTAAAACTTGCATATATATCTCTTGTTTTTGTCCGAAGTATAGAGTAGAATCATGTGCTACAGACCAGTTTCAATGTGAAAATGGGGAATGTATTCCTAGTGCGAAAAGATGCGACGATAATTTTGATTGTGGAGACCGGTCTGATGAAAAAAACTGTAAGTACAATGAATCTAACTAGTATGTGTGATATGCTGCAATTACGGTCTTACATATTAATATATTATTCAAGGAACATACCAAAATTCAACCCTTTAACACAATTATTGCATTCAGTGATCTTTATTATACACAAAAAATATCTTGACTGTTTAAATGAACATTTTAGGTTCTGAGGTAAACCAGTGTCCGGAAGGCTTGCACAAATGTTTTAACGGACAATGTGTTGTCGACTTGAACCTATGTCCAACATCAACTTTAATTCAAACTTAAATATCATCCACACATACATCTCCGTTACAATCATCTTCCTTGTTTACGTCAACATCATTTGGCATTGTGGCTACAACATTGTTGTCTGAAAGTTCAGTTATAGAAACAACCAGAGCATCGGTGGAATCTATTACTCCTATAACTGAAGATCACATTCCTGACACAGAAAATGGTTATAATTTAAGTAAGTTTGTACATACAGTTTTTAGTTTATGTCAAATTGAGGTCATCTATCTTCTGTTTATTTTTTTTTTCTATTTTTCTGTTAGTTAACCCTTTTGAGAGGTTTTGGATGTGGGTCCGTCATTTCTGTAATCTTTAATTTTATTTCCGTAATTTTTTAGGTTCTCTTTATATTTTTTGTGAATCATTCTCTATTTACTTTAATTTGGAATCCCATTATTCTCGTTCTCTCTTGTTTTGCCTAGTTTTGTTAAACATATTACAAACAAATATTTGATGCGTTTCCCTCAGTTTTAGTTTGTAACCCGGATTTGTTTTTTTCTCAATCGATTTATGAATTTTGAACAGCGGTATACTACTGTTGCCTTTATAAATAAAATTAAGTCTGCAGCACTCTTAGATAAGTGCATTGTTTATTAACTTTTTACAACTGCATTGAGAACAGTGTTGATAATACAATCTTTTGATGAGACCATTAGATATGATGGTCGTTTTTGTCCTTATAGATTGTGACACGTTCAGGAAGAAAACGATACATTATCTCTCAAAACCCAACAACCCGCAAACATACGTTTACTTCAACATATTTTTTTCAGATTATTTATGGCTTCTTCTATTGGTGCCAGTTATTGGCATCATCATCGGTGGTATTGTGTACTGGTATAGAAACCGGGAACGACGAATGAGGTAATCAATGCTATTCAAATTCATAAAAGTGACCAAATTTTAAGTTTAAAATAAAAAAAAAAATGTGCTCAAAACAAAAAAGATTAAACACAAGAAAAACATACTGGTAAAGACTTCTCCACAATAAAATGTACTACAAATTGAATGTGAGAATGCAATATATGACAATAAAACATAAATACTACTGAGCTATACTGCAAAAAGGAAAGGGGGCGAAGAAAGAGCAACAGAGATTAGAATGATGATGATAATGATGATGATGTTCGTTTTACTGTTGTTGATTTTATACTACGAGGAATCGTTTTGATCTCTTTAAAAAAAAATTATAAATTGTTCAACAATTTGCAAATTTTGATCATAGGGAAGATTTTTCTTTTCCACAAACCAATAGTAAGTCCAAATTGCAGCCTTCGGGATGCCAACTGAGACTATAAAACAGAATAGCCCTTTAATTTACATAGAAAGGAAAATCAGAGAAACAAATTGTGCATTTTCTCTATATTCAAACCACATGTACATGTCGGATAAAATATAATATTGGCTCTAAGCAAGTCACAATCCAATAAGAATGCCAAACATCTCAATTGAGTTCAGGTAACATTAAACTTTCTATGACTATAAAAGTAATGTTGAGATTGATTCTCATTTCGAATGTCGTGGTTTTTTATTTCTACATTGAGTTTTGAAAATGAGTCTACATTTTGAACTGAGTATTCCAAAGTTTAACTGTGGAGGTGATAAATGGTTGGAAAGTCAGTGTCAGCCTGCAAAATGGTAAAATAGAATATTGTTTATTTCGCGAGGGATATTGTGTTATATCTTGAATTTTAGGTAACACAAGGCTACATAAATATTGAGCTGCATTTTTATTATGAATTTTATAAAACAATTGTAGTTTTCTTCTTTTTCTTAGTTCCACTAAAATTTCACAACCAACTTCTTTATTGACAGTCTTAGAATGTGTGACAACAAGTAACATGTTACAATTCGTGAAGCTATAATTTAAAGATGATCTCATTTAGTTGCTTACCGTTTTCCGCAATGAAACATTTTCTAACTTAGCTATACCACAAAAGTATGATTATAGAAAAAAAGTTATAGCAAAGGTTTAATTGGGTAATATATTTCGGCATTTCTTATTTCCAAAAGTTTTTTTTTTTTTTTTATTTTATTCGTAGGGTCGTGTACATCTAATTTTAATCATCAATACCAAATAATATTAATGAACATCACATGCGCAATATATCTGATTTGTCTTGACAAACAGTTGTTTTCACTTTAAAATCATCCTTTCATTTTACAGAAAACGAAAAGATAAATACAAAGTCAAACAAAAAGTATAAAAAAGCAGGAAATGCAGCAGGAATACAATGATTGAATATGAAACTTTGAACTCTACTGTATCAGATTAATTACCTTAGTCGAATACATCGTTTCTTCCAGGTGAAATTCAGGATTGACATATAAGGAGGAAAATGTAGACACTATAGACACTATACACTCTAGGTTTTATCCTGAAAGTTGTATGCTAGGTCAGGATCTGTTATCAAAATTGTTCTTTGATCAATTGAATCAAGTTTCTATGAATATAAATAAAAAACAAATATTTCTTCCAAAAGGTTTATTAAAATTTTACTTGACTCATCATCTTCCATATCTTTCGAAATTTCGAAATTTAGCTGAAAACCTTTTGTTCTCATAATACATTGTATATAATATATATTATATAAAAGACGATGGCGTATGATGGCAATGAGACAGCTTTCCACAAAAGACCAAATGACTAAAAAATTATCATGTATAGGTCATCGTACGGCCTTCAACAATGAGCAAATCCCATCCTGCATAGTCAACTATTAAACAACTATTAAAGGCCCGAAATGACAAATGTTTAACAATTCAAACGAAAAAACTAAGAGCCTAATTGGTGTACAATTAATAAAGGAAAAACAAGTATGTAACATAGCAACAGACGACAACACCGAATTACAGGCTCATGACTTGAAACAGGAGCATACATAATGTGGCGGTGTAAAACATGTTAGTGGACGCCCAACCCTCCCCTTATCCTGTGACAGTGGTGCAAAAGAACAGAACAAGAACTGTACAAAAAGACGCATTTGATCAACAGCAACCTCTGAATTATATGCTCCTGACTTAGGACAGGCACATATAGAATGTGGCAGGGTTAAACATGTTAGCGGGTGCCCAACCCCTCTCCTAACCATGGACTGCGGTGTAACAGTACACATAAGAACAAACTATAAAAACCAGTAGAAAAAGGCTGAACTCATCAGATAAATACAATTACAAGTATATCTAACAGAGTGGACTCGGGTGGGTACTTGTACAACCCACCAACAAAAAGACTCTGAGTACAGATGAAAGTTAAATTAACAATAGGGAACAAAACATCGTCTGAGCGTACTCGCAGTTGCTGACAGCTAGTTCAATAACAGATTATTAAAAATCATGCATCTCAGACTACAGTATCAATCAGTACACATCCAACATCCAATAGATTTAGTGTAAAGACGCCATAAATAGTCAGAGAAAAACAAGTCCTTGTGCAATGCCAAGATACAGTTATCTACAGATTGTATATTCATGAATGTGCATATGTATATAACAAAAATATTAAGTGTGCTTTTAATTTACTGATAACAATATCAATATTAGTACCAATAAAAAAAAAAGTTAAAAATCTAATTACAGTGTTGAATTGGTAACCTTTTCGAATTAGTTTATTTAAAGGTTCGATAAGTTTACCCCGATCGTTTCTAAATTTTCGGCCTCGGTAAACAACATCTCCGTTAATGAGGATGTGCAGTCCCGTTTAGAATAAGTGTTCGACAAAACTTCAAAACCATATCTTTATATCGATGAAAGATTTAAAAAAAAGGTTTAAAGTAATTTGGGGTACGTAATTCCTGACTTTATTATTTACCAGTAATACATAGCTTAAGTTTAGTAAACTCCAAAAAGTCACAACAGATACGGGCATAGTGAACGAGTTGTGATATATAAAAACTGAAAGATGGTGCCAACGGAACATCCTCTTGCAAAAAAGGAAATATTGAACCAGATCCGCCTTTCGACAACCAAAGTCTCTTTCGTGATAATACTTTTAAAGTTGAAGATCTGGTCAAACTAAAATGACTAAAAAGGAAATAAGAAATTCCTGGACAAAAATTGAGGTATTGATAGGAAGACACATTCATTGTTTAAATAGAAAAATTTTGGACGCATATTTTTGTATTTCGTTTTCATGTATTTCTATTTTGATTCTTTTGATTCACCGTGTATCTGAAAAACATCATACACTTGTGTGTGAATTTTATTTTATGTAAAAGTATGTGCACCTTTCGGCTTTTTTTACTAGAAGGTAATTGCTACGTTTAAACCGTTCGATATTGATTTTTGATTCATGCTTTGTTTTCCTTGAAGTAAGTTTTGAATAGCAGTGATCTATATTTATTTTATAGTTAAATGCAAGTTGGGAAATTCCAGTTGTAAGTTAGTATACTACAAAATTTAAGTTATTTTGCGTGTTTCGCATATTTTATTCAACAACTTTCCTTTCGAGAAGTTTTGCCAAAAGAAACAAGTATTTTGTTTCAGTTTTTCTGCTCATGTTTCCAAAGGTTAGCAGAGTAATTTCAAATAATAATTATACATACAACAGCGTTTTAATTTTTCTAATTAGTTCAGAAATTATATAAACTTAGATGACGTAATGTAACATTTTATATTTATGACACCTGTTTACGTAAACTTTATTTGCAGTGTTAATTGATTATCATAGTGAATGGAAACGAAAGAATTCAGTGGTCATGTATCGATCTTCAAGGGTTTTATATCACTTGATAGAATGCAAATGTTGTTGACGTTGTTACCAGCCACAAGATAAAAGTAGTCTTAGCATGAAAAATTTTTTGTAAGTAAATTTTTTATTTTTTTGAATTGACAATGCTTGTTTGGAATAGCTCTCTTTTTGGTTTGAAATTGCTTAGATGCATATGCAGAAATAGAACCGAATGTATTGATTGAGATGTTATACATAACACTTAAAATTGTTAATGGAAATTAATTTGAGTAACTAGTGACAGTAAATGCTGCTGCTAAAAAATAAAACTGTATAAACATCTATTCATTAGATTACTCCATTAATACTGAGAAAGATAGTTTGTGTATACCTGTATATAGAAAGAAGTCGTTACTCAGTGGGATAAAACAACTTTTGTCTAAACTATTTGTCTTTTTGAACGATATGATATGTTTTAACTCAATGAATGATGTTACATAATTTGATTAAAGTTGTGCTTTTTGTGCGTCTTCTCCGAAAAGAATATCCTACAGGGTTGAGTCGTCTGAGTAATATAATAAATACGAATAAATGGTTTGGTTTTGAACGTCCAACGCCAAACATAACATGCATAGCAGGCGAGTAAAATAATAATGTGATATACATATGAACATTAAATCTTACTTACGCGACAAGCTACGTTAGATCACTGGTATTTACTTGACTTTCAGCTGTCAAGGCAAAGCCTCGAGGAGGTACTTGTAAAGGATATAAGCGTTCTCAATGAGTGTAAACTGAACGATCTTATACACAACTGGTTAGAGTGTTCTTGATATACTTTAAATAGCATAGCAACTGTGCTGTAAGCTATAATTTTATTAAGGTAAATAAAGGCAACAGTAGTATACCGCTGTTCGAAATTCATAAATCGATTGAGAAAAAAAAAAACAAATCCGGGTTACAATCTATATATAGCTAAAACTGAGGGAAACACATCAAATATAAGAGGAGAACTACGACACAACAGAAACACAACATTAAAATGTAACACACACAGAAACGAACTATAATATAACAATGGCCATTTTCCTGACTTGGTACAGAACATTTTAAGAACAAAATGGTGGGTTGAACCTGATTTTGTGGCAAGCCAAACCTCCCGCTTTTATGGCAATGTTAAATATAACATTAAAATGACAACATTACATGAAAGGACTACAATACAAATAAATGGGAGAACATATAGGACAGAGAAACATACAAATAATCGCTAACAAAAGGTACCAGGTTTAAAATTAAATACGCAAGACGCGCGTTTCGTCCACACAAGACTAACCAGTGACGCTCAGATCAAAAGAGTTTGAAAGCCAAAACAAGTACAAAGCTGAAGAGCATTGAGGACCAAAACTTCCAAAAAGTTGCGCCTAACACGGCCAGGGTTTTCTGCCTGGGACAAGAACATCCTTATTATTTAGAATAATTCATACTTTTGCAAACAGTGAATTTATAAAAAAATGACTATATAATAGATATACATGATAACACCGAAGTGGTGACTAACTACAGAATAAAAACGGATACATAAAACAACATAAACCAGCACATAAAAATTCACAGCCGAGTAAGCCAAAGAGATCAACGCAAAATAAAAAGGTGACGTCACATTTGAATTTCTGAAATTTCCCCAAAATAGGATAGAATCAGGATAGAATTTAAGATTTGGTTTAAAACACTCATATAACATTTATTAATAACAATGAAAATTACAATACTAATTAATATAAAATGTGGTAGTAATTAGATAATTAATAGTATTATCTAGCTATGTCGGTGTTTCTTCTAAATCAAACTGTAAACCAGATATTTGGTATAAATTTAGTTGACCCAAACTAAAATCTAATTAATGAACTGGGTGATTAATTATCTTTACCATAACACACGAATACAACAGAAAAAAATAAGATTTACAACTACAAACGATAAGACATTTGACAAAATCCGATGAGAATAACAAATATAACATCAAAACTAAATACATGAATTTTGGATAGAAAAGTACCGTGACACATCTCATAGCAATGCGAATTCACACTCAGCAAAACAGTCACAATCGGGGATAAGTCACGTTCGGTAATTAAAAGATCAGACGACGTTATGTCAAACCACAATCTAACACGTGGTAAAAATGTCCTTAGTTAGTTTGGACAAAGACACATCATATGGATCGACCAATTCGTGATGGTGTCCGTAAAATTTACGGAGTGTCATTTTTAATCTGTCCTCCTCATAACTTTGTTGGAGCAGTTTCTGCGTTAGGAGCACACTCCTGTATATGAAGTCCGTATAGTGTGAACATGCACGAGCATACCGTATCAACTGAGATATGTAAACACCATACGAAGGGGCAGAGGGTATGTTACTGCTGAGAAATGGGAAATTGATAATTGGGAAGTTGAAATCGTCCCGTTTATCATAGATTTTCGTGTGAAGTCATCCATCTGTGTCAATATTGAGGAAAAGATCAAGGTATGAAACAGTCCTTCTAATACATACCAAGTGAATATCTTAACAGAGATAAGATGTACATATTAGTACATGAGTAAACTCTTCGAAAAACAAGATAGAGGTTTTTTTATTATTTATTGTTTGGTAATTCAGCTAAACGTTTTCATTAAACAAATTTAAGGTATAAGGTTAAAAGAGAAAGGTAACAAGGTAAAAAGGTATCAGGAATTTCATCACAACGAAACCATTAAAGGTGAAGTTTATATCATGTGTTTCT